TTGATCGCAGGTGAATCGCCAGCAAGGCACGACAAATTTCACCCGCTCGCCAATTTCGCGAATTGTGGAAATTGTGGTGGTTGGGTACAAATGTGTTCTCAGATCTGAACCCAACCATTTCCCGCAATTTCTCTGTTAGGGTTATGGGACAAGATTCCCGCATGGTCGACGAGTATGAAAAACTCCCCCGAGTAGCCGAAAATGCTCACCGGGTTTTGTTTTGCCCTGCCCGCGAAACTTTTTTTACTGCCCGGAAAAGCGTATCCTCGATCAGGCCCCTCCAGCGTATAGCGTACAAACACTAGCGTATATACGACACGCGTATATATGCTATACGCGTATAATCCATCATAGGAAATATATACAATGGCGCTGCGATTGGAGATGGGAGGATTAACTGATTGTAATCACGTCTCCAGTCACAGTGGTCATGCGATTCCACCAACAACCCATAATGATCACCTCCAATTTCCGACAACCCTCTTTCATCCTAACTGATACTTCCCCTTAGAGGAGCAATGCTACAGTCACAGTGGTGCATTCGCACACTAAGACCCCCCTGCAATCACCTCTCTTCCTTCATGCCCCTTTTGAGTCGTCTCAAAAGTCACCCTGCAATCACCTCTCTTCCTTCATGCCCCTCTTTTCTGTCTCCCTTCTATTCCGTTCACCTCATTAGAGGAACAACGCTACAGTCACGGTCGTGCACTCGCGCACCAAGGACCCCCCTTCAATCACGCGGGATGCCGACATTGTGATTGCAGCAGCGGGCGTGCCGAACCTAGTCAGGGGCGACTGGCTCAAGCCAGGCTGTGTGGTGATCGACGTTGGGATCAACCCCGTTGATGTGAGTGCCTGTCTGAGTGCATGGGTGGGGGGGGAATGTGGGATGACATTGTGATTGCAGCAGAGGGCGTGCCCAACCTGGTGCGCGGGGTCTGGTTGAAGCCGGGCTGCGTTGTCATTGATGTTGGGATTAACCCTGCTGATGTGAGTACTTGAATGTGAGGGGGGAGAGGGAACAAGGGGAAGGCGGATTGACATTGTGATTGCAGCAGCGCGCGTGCCCAACCTGGTGCGAGGCGACTGGTTGAAGCCCGGATGTGTCGTGATTGATGTTGGGATAAATCCTGTGGATGGAAGTGTGGGGGGCGATGGGGTGAGGAGGGAAAGGGGAAATGAGATGTCGGCATTGTGATTGCAGCAGCGCGCGTGCCCAGCCTGGTGCGAGGCGACTGGTTGAAGCCCGGATGTGTCGTGATTGACGTGGGGATTAATCCCGTTGATATGAGTTACTGGGGGGGGGGAGACGGAATACGGTAGGGGAAGAGAGGGAATAGGGGAAGAAAGGGGATGCTGACATTGTTGTTGCAGCAGCAGGCGTGCCGAACCTGGTGCGGGCGACTGGCTGAAACAAGTCATTTCATGCATCCCCCCTCCCTCCTCCCGCCCCCTCTCATTCCTTCACCCCCCACTCCCCAATGCTCTCGCAGAATCGATCAGTTGATTGTCCTTGTAATGCATGTCTAATGTGTCTAACAAGGTGACTTTTCAGTCGACTCAAAAGGTACAACGTGCTCTCGCGGCTTCGATCAGTTAGACTGTCCTTGTTTTCCATGTCTATTGTGTCTAACAATCGCCTCACACCTGCACTGCACCTCCCTGCATCCATGCCTCCCTTTGTCCCATACAGGGTCCCTCCTCCAAGCGCGGTTACCGCCTGATGGGAGGCGTGCCTGGTCCCTCCTCTTCGACAAGTCTCTTGTGCCTTCTATCACTCACTTTCCTTCGCTTCCGTTTTCCCTCTTCCCTGCACATTCCTCCATCCCTGCACATTCCTCCATCCCTGCATTTTGTCACACATACCGTGCAGGATCCCTCGTCCAAGCGCGGTTACCGCCTGGTGGGAGATGTGTGTTTCGAAGAGGCTAAGCATGTTGCGTCAGCCATAACCCCCGTGCCGGGGGGTGTGGGGCCAATGACCATAGCTATGTTACTCTGTAACACATTGGAGGCAGCAAAGAGAAGCAAGGGCCTTCCCGTGGAATGAAGAGGCTCTTGTTGCAACGGCCATAACCCCCGTGCCGGGGGGTGTGGGACCGATATGATAGCTATGTTACGCAGTAACACATTGGAGGTGGCAAAGCGAAGCAAAGTACTTCCAGTGGAATGAAGAGTGGGTGTTTATATGAAAGTGATTCTCTAAGGTAGCTGAGCATGATTACTCTATTTGCAATTGTAAGCAAAAAATTGTGTAGGTAGACCTAGACGTTAATCAGCGACTCTGGTATATACATCCAGGCCTTAACGATTTCGGGAATTTCCTTTAGCGAGCCTCCGTTTCAGCAAACGTAACGGCACGACATCCACAGCGTCATGACCCAGATAAGTACGAGCGACTCGACTGGAGCTGGGACCACATTCAGTGAATGCGGTTTGACACGGTGTAACTGTGACAGCCCAACGCAGGTGAACAGCTCAGCTGAGCCACGACAGGTGAACAGCTCAGCTGAGCCACGACAGGTGAACAGCTCGGCTGGGGGGGATACATCCAGCTGGGGCAAGTCACTGTGTAAGCACATCCACCCGGCACAAGGAGGTCGACCCAAAGAACAAATGTGTGTATCGGTCGGTGGCGTACTGATCCGGCACTGTAGTACTGATACAGAAACAGGTGGAGGTGAGGGTGTGTGGTGTGGGTAATTTTCCTCCCTCCCCTCCCAACCGCACCGCACTAAATTGCACCGCAGTATGCCGCGGTTGACGAGTGGCGGCAGTGGGGATTTTTGGTTTTGGGCAATTACCTCCGCGGTAACACTTAATGAGCTCGTTTGCACGGGAGATAGGCCACGTGTCCAAATCGTAACAAAGGTATCTTCTCATCGCCACCGTGGTAACCAACATTTCCGAAATGGTCAACATTATTGCCTGAATGGTAATAAACAGTGCTTCCGGGATTCCTGGCTGGTAACTTCGCGTTCGTACTAAACTGTACACCGTACAAGTAGGGTTTGACTCAGCCGAAACGAAACTGATTGTCCACATGTACTCCACAAAATGCGCATTTCGGGTTATAATACTGGCGTTTATAATCCTCCACGTTAAAACTCCATATGCTAGCTCGAAATCTGATTAAAAACCGAATGCATTATTACCAAACAAACGCCACAAAAAATAACGAACTATGTCAAAACGCAAAACTATGATAGTGACAACTATTATGAAGCAGATTATTTTACTCAACAAGACTTTTATTTAAGAATCTTCAGAGCTCGATCTAAATCAATATACAAAAATTACAATATCGATGTGAGTTTTTCAGATTTTGCATAAAGACTATGAAATTTGTATAAAAAGACAAAAAAATTCCAAATTATCAAATATTGCATGATATGCTTTGTTAAGAATTTTTATTTAAGTTTTTATAATCTTGATTTTGTTGTCATAGTTGATTGTATCGCATACTTGTCTGTAACGCTTTGCGTTTGTAAGCGTTCATGTGCATTCTGTGCTGTACCGTGACATCAGTTTCAGTTTTGCTGAGTCAAGCCCTACTTGTACGGTGCACAGCTTAGTTCGAATGCGAAGTTACCAGCCAGGAATTCCGGAAGCACTGTTCATTACCATTCAGGCAATAATGTTGACCATTTCGGAAATGTTGGTTACCACGGTGGCGATGAGAAGATACCTTTGTTACGATCTGGACACGTGGCTTACCTTCCGTGCAAACGAGCTCAATGAGTGTTACCGCGGAGGTAATTGCCCTTTGGTTTAGGTTTGAGCGGAAACGACCTCGCAACCTCTCTTCGTTTGCCAGCGTTGCAATGACGTATATATTCGTCCGAATGCAGGTGTCAACTCGCTACTAGAACGCCACATTAGCGAAAATATAGGTGACGTGTTTAGGTTTGCAATCCGTCATCTTCGTGAATCGAGTCATCGCTCCCAGCTGCGCTGGTTTTCAGGGGTTCCACCGCGATGCTCCATGGGTTTCACGAGCCTTGTGCGCCATCATAATTCGAGGCAACCTGCCGCCTTTCGCGGCGGTTGCAATGCACCGCCGTTGATTCACAGCGGAGTCGCGTGTCCACAGGTCAAGCGACGATTTCGTCACAGTTCGTGAATCGCGAAGATTAAAAGGTCAACCCCTCCCACATCGCCTATTATGTAACTGTAATTGCTCGCTGCAGCGCTGTAACAACAGCTTGGATGACATTTACAGGGTGCAGCTGTGCCTTACAAAACTCGGAAGCCTGGGCAGAAGAAATTCACACAAAGAATTTGAGGGGACTGCTTTGAACACCTCCGTCCACCAAGAAAGGAACTCTTTTGAACACTTCCGTCCACCAACAAGTGAGGACTGTTATGTACAGTTAAAAACAAAATCCTCCTTTTTGCCTTCCTCAAGGCAGAGGTCACCTTTTTAGGACCAGCATAGGACCACTGTCAGCGCAATATCCAGTGCTGATGCGGCGTTCATCATCACATGCTAGGACTGGTCCCGCCCCGCGTGCTGGAAACCTGTGGCTTCTTTTCAAAAGCTTGGAACAGGGCCGCTTCGCCGCTGCCAGTCCCACCGCCTGTTGTGGTTCGTATGGTGTAAACTGCTTCTGGAAGGGGACGCCTGAACCAGCATGGAGTTTCTATCAGCAGTCCCTCGTCGTCCACTGAACTGCTCTAGGAAATTTCATCGCTAAGACAAACCATGCTTTCGTCAACTCTGAGAAATAGTGAAACCTGGGACACCAGTTGACGATGCGCTGAGCTTCTCAGATTGTCCACACTATATCCCGCATCTACGGTACGTTTTTCGCAGCGGTCGTATGTATTTCAGTTTATACCTCAGCCTTTTCATGCGTCAACGTAATCCCAGGACCCGTCGAGATCCTTCTCTGGAGCCAGAAACCCCAGTCGCGCCTTAGGGATTAGGCACGTCTTAGGGAGGCAAGCACGCGTTAGAGAAATAGTTTCGCCCACAGCCCAGCCGTCGAGTCTACGCGATGACTAGGTTTCAGGGAACTCATCCAACATTAGATGGTAAGCCTGAAACGTGTTGACCATGTGTGCTTGCGATTCTCATTCGTGCCTTCCAACATTCCCTGGTGCTCTCATCAAGTCGTAATGTTAGCGACACTGAATAACGTTTCGTTCTCACTCCCTCTTTTTCAACCCTCGATTTATTTTCCACGATTATTTTTGTTGTATCTCAGAGGTGCGTGCATACCTAAACTCGGACCACTTGGAGGAGATGCGGCACAGCATCCACCAATCAGCGGCCGACATGTGGATCGCGGAGGAGCAATTCAAGTCGTGTCTGGAGCAAGCTTTGTCAAATCATCCCTTCGCCACCTCCCAGCCTTCTCGTCGTTACGGCGACGCGACAGGCGAGGAGACGATGTCAAGTGGTGCTGCGTTCATCAGTCCCTCGTCTACTTCATTGACAGCTTCGCGCGGCGTACGTTCCGCAATTCCTGACAGCAGCAATTTGTCGCGGGAGCGAAACAACGGCCTGTGCTCCTTGCTGAATCGGTATCGACGAAAGATATCCCGGCATTTGTCCTGCTCGTAGAGTGACACACACGACGCAACATCGCAAGACTGCAGAGGAAGGAAGACTTTCAAACTCCACTCCACCCAAATGAAGCTGCAGTGAACAGAAGCCAAGCCCAGTCCCGCTGAGCGGCACTTTCGCGAGAGAGGATATGGCGTGTTTATTCCGTCAATCGCTCCTCAAACACGGGCTTACCGCAAGATTTATTGTGGTCATCCCTGTTTATTCATCTAGTCTGATGTATATAGCAGCTTACTGTTCCGTAGGCTTATGCATATGAAATGAAGAATGCGCTTTAACAAAAATAAAATGAAGAACTCACTTGGCTCACAATATACGGTATTCCCCCGGATATACCACCCTAGGGTGCTATGATAACTACACAAAAAAAAAGGGGGGGGTCTTGTCATCGGAAAAAGCTACATTGCACCCGGGTCTTTACATAATGTATATATTTTTTTATAGCGTAAAACGTTTAGTACTAAATGTACATCTGTGCCGTGGTGGTAGATTGCTGGTTGGGTGCGCAAAACCGAGGACTGGGCGATAACGTTTTGCGCGAGGGTTAGCTGCCACATTGCAAGCTCCAACAAGGCCCACTGTCAGGCCCTGATTGGACGAAATCACACCCCCTCGTCGCACGACGAGGATTCATGCAGGTGACAATGGCGGAGTCCCCGCAACAGCCTCGGTTGCCTCGCTGGGCGGGCACGTCATTACTAAGGCAAAAACTGCAATTATACCCGTACATAACACCCCTCCCCGGGTGCTATATACGATGCCCTTAAAAGGGGGGGTATAGTAGAAACGAGGCCCGCTATAGCACCCCCCCCGCACAAGCCACCCGGGGGGTGCTCTATTTCGGGGGGTGGTATGTCCGGGGGAATACGGTACTGGTCTCCCTTCACATTATGCTATCTATTAAGGGCTTGTTCCTTTCTCATATTAGACAAACCCCATAGCAGGCTCACACTGAAATTTTGTCAAACATATATGCTGCATATTGTCTAGGCTGTAGTGGGGTAGCCCATATGGGGTACAGCCCAATTAGGGTTTACTACTTGTACTCCTGCATGCTGCTAGTTCATCATTCCTGCTGCTAGATTCTGACATGGTTTCAGAGCACTAAGGTCCGTAGGACCGTTTTTTTCGGGCCCACCTACCGCTGCGGTTACCGCGCTACCCCACGTACCTGCCTGCCTGCCTTGCCTTGCCTTGTGACGTGCTGCACTATGTGCGCCGTCCAGCAGCCCTAGCGCTGCCTCCTGCTGCCCTAGGCCAGCGCGCTGCCCCTAGAGGCCCGTAAGGCCCACGCGCCGCCCCTAGAGGCCCGTAAGGCCCGCGCAGCCCGCTGCAGCCGCGCGCAGCCCGCACAGAGCCCGCGCAGCCCGCGCCGAGCCGCGCGCAGCCCGCTGCAGCCGCGCGCAGCCCGCACAGAGCCCACGCAGCCCGCGCCGAGCCGCGCACAGCCCGCTGCAGCCGCGCGCAGCCCGCTGCAGCCGCGCGCAGCCCGCAGCTGCCGCGCGCAGCCCGCGCCGAGCCCACGCAGCCCGCGTCGAGCCGCGCGCGGCCTGCTACGGCCTCGCGAGGCCCGCGCGCGGCCCGCAGCAGCCCGCGCCGAGCCGCGCGCGGCCTGCTACTGCCTCGCGCGGCCCGCGCGCGGCCCGCAACAGCCCGCGCCGAGCCGCGCGCGGCCCGCTACTGCCTAGCGCGGCCGCGCGCGGCCTGCAGCAGCTCAGCGCGCTGTCAGCACAGCCCGCGCCGAGCCGCGCGCGGCCCTCTGCCTCGGCCACGACCTGCCGCTGATGCGGACCCGCCCTGCAGCTACCACGGCCCCGACCTGCCGCTGATGCGGCCCCGCCCTGCAGCTGCCACGGCCCCGACCTGCCGCTGACGCGGCCCCACCCTGCTACTGCCGCTGACGCGGCCCCGCCCTGCAGCTGCTTCGGCCCTGCTCTGCAGCCGGTTTTGCGGCCCCGACGCCGCCGCTGTCGTGCGCCTACTCGGCCGCCGCCCGTCGAGCGCCGGCCCTGCTCGCCCGGTGAGCGCCTGCTCTCCCAGCCTTTGGTGAGCGCCTGCCTGCCTGCCTGACGGCCTGCCTGTCTGCCTGCCTGCCTGCCGGCCTGCCTGCCTGCCTGCCTGCGCGACTGCCTGCCTGCCTGCCGGCCTGCCTGCCTGCCTGCCGGCCTGCCTGTCTGTCTGCTTGCCTGCCTGCCTGCCTGCCTGCCTGTCTGCCTGCCTGCCTGCCTGCCTGCCTGCCTGCCTGCCTGCCTGCCTGCCTGCCTGCCTGCCGGCCTGCCTGCCTGCCTGCCTGCCTGCTTGCTTGCCTGCCTGCCGCGCCTGCCTTGCCCGCGCTACTGCTGCTGCTACTGCTACTGGCAGGTGGCCAGATGCAGCTCCAGCGACGTTCACGCGAGCCTCTGACGCCCCAGCAGCTTAGTGAGTGGTATACTAGCTGGGGTTGTCGCAGTAGCCGTCGTAGCTGTCGCCCTGGAGCTGGTCAGTTGGGAGCGTCTGGCAGTGGCCAGCTGCAGCTGCAGGGGCGTCCACGTGAGACACTTACGCCCCGGCAGCTCCAGGAGTGGTACGCTCAGTGTAGCAGGTCTACGCGTACAGTTCGCTGCCCGTACGTCATTCGCACAGGTGCTAGGACTGGTCAGCCTTGTGGGACGCTTGGTCACACACAGTCCCGCTGCTTCGCCCGTCTGAGCGACGACTGGCGCACAGTGTTTGGCGACGAGGCTGAGCTCCCCACCTGGCTGGAGCTGCATGGACAGAGGGTAGATATCTTTGCGCTTGACTATGATGCTATTCTCACTGCCATGTATGCATTGCCTACTAGTGCTGATCGTGCCTGTTATCTGTGCGTACCGCCTGACCCTGGTGAGGCTGCTGCTCTAGGTGCTAGTGCGTCTCTTGCTCTAGGTGCTGGTGAGGCTGCTGCTCTCGGTGCTAGTACGTCTACTGCTCTAGGTACTGGTGAGGCCGTGGCTTCAGGTGCTGGTGAGTCTGCTCTCTCTGGTACTGCGCCAACTACGGTCTCGCACACCTTCACCCTTGACTCAGGAGCTTCTCGCTCCTTCTTTCGCGACTGCACCACACTCACGCCGCTTAGTCGGCCAGTTCCAGTCTCCCTGGCGGACCCCTCCGGGGGTCCAGTCCTTGCCCACTACTCCACGGTTCTGCCGTGTCCGGCCGTCCCGTCCGGCTCGCTGTCAGGTCTTTACCTCCCCTCGTTCTCTACAAACTTGGTGAGTGGAGCTGACCTCCAGGATCGGGAGGTTGACCAGTTCACTCCTGCGAGTCAGCGAGTGACTCACTGTACGTGTGCTAGGACGGGCCGGCACTTGGCCACGTTCACCCGTGCACCTGGCTCGAGTCTGTACACACTGACCACTGAGTCCCCTCAGGTAGCTGCGTCTGCGTCTACGTCTGGTCAGCTGGCGGCCCCCTGCGAGTGTCGCGCTTTGTCGCACGACACTCTCCTGTGGCACCACCGTCTTGGTCACCCCTCCTTGCCTCGCCTGCGTAGCATGCACTCTCGCTCCCTGGTCTCTGGTCTTCCCAGGTCTCTGCCTGCCCTCCCTCCCTTGCCTGCGCCGCCCTGCATTCCTTGCGTCGAGGGGCGGCAACGCGCCGCTCCTCACTCCTCCTCGTTTCCTCCCACAGAGGCTACACAGCAGACGCTCCACCTGGACGTGTGGGGCCCAGCCCGCGTCCAGGGACAGGGCCGCGAGCGGTACTTCCTGCTGGTTGTCGACGACTACACGCGTTACACCACGGTCTTCCCCTTGCAGAGCAAGGGGGACGTCCCTGATGTTTTGATCCCTTGGATCCGCGCTGTTCGTCTCCAGCTCCGCGAGCGGTTCCGGCGGGACTTTCCTGTCCTGCGTCTGCACTCTGACAGAGGTGGTGAGTTCTCCTCTGACCTCTTGGCAGCCTACTGTGCGGAGCACGGCATCACCCAGTCGTTCACGCTTCCGGCCTCTCCACAGCAGAATGGGGTTGCTGAGCGTCGCATTGGCTTAGTCATGGAGGTCGCACGTACCTCCATGATCCATGCGGCTGCCCCCCATTTCCTGTGGCCGTTTGCGGTCCGGTACGCCGCGCATCAGCTCAACCTCTGGCCCCGTGTCTCCTTGCCGGAGACCTCGCCCACACTGCTGTGGACGGGGAAGGTTGGTGATGCGTCGCGTTTCCGGGTCTGGGGTGCTCGTGCCTTTGTCCGCGATACCACCGCGGACAAGCTCTCCGCCCGCGCTATTCCCTGTGTCTTCCTTGGCTTTGTCCCTGACGCGCCTGGTTGGCAGTTTTACCATCCCACCTCGCGCCGTGTCTTTGCGTCTCAGGACGTCACGTTCGACGAGTCGGTTCCCTTTTACCGTCTCTTCCCCTACCGCACTGCCCCGCTCCCCCCTCCGCCGCTCTTCCTCGCTCCAGGTGCTCCCCAGGTAGACCCCCTCCCCACTCCTGGTCCTGCTCCTTCAGGTGTTTCTCAGGTAGACCCTCCTCCCTTGACTGCGCCGGTTGAGGTCACTGGTGACTCAGGTCCTACTGAGGGTGGTCCTTCTCGGGGTGCTACTTCTAGGGGTGCTGAGCCTGGGGGTGCGGAGCCTGGGGGTGCTGAGCCTGGGGGTGCTGAGCCTGAGGGTGCGGAGCTTGAGGGTGTGGAGCCTGGTGGTGCTGAGCCTGAGTGTGAGGGGTCTGGGGGTGCTGAGCTTGGCGGTACTGACGCTGGAGGTTCTGGAGCTACTGAGGGTGCTGGCGCTGGAGGTTCGGGAGCTGCTGGAGGGCCTAGTACTGGTGGCGCTGGAGCTGGAGGTTCTGGAGCTGCTGAGGGTGCTCGTGCTGGAGGTTCTGGAGCCGCTGGAGGTACTGGTGCTGAGGGTACTGACACCGGAGGTTCTGGAGCCGTTGGGGGTGCGGGCGCTGAGGGTTCTGAGTCTGCTGTTGCGCGGTCTCCTTGGAGTAGCCACCTTCGTCCACGTGTGCCTCTCACCCCACAGCAGCTGCAGGAC